GGCACTGTGCATGTGGGGACCTAAAAGCCCCACCTTGCATAGGTCCGAAAGGAAGTTACTGGGGGCGTGGCCTGGCTTGTTTTGAAAGTCTGAAGAATACTTCCACACTGCTGAGGAGTGCATGATCAGCGCATGACCATCCTTAAGATACACCCTCAGGGGGAGAGGGGGGATTTCCAGGTGCCTTTATAAGCTCTGTAATACCTGTAATAAATGAGTCCTTGCCTGACTAGACTCCCCGTTGCGTCTGAGTGTCCCCAGGTAATGGGGGCAGCATGGACTGGCAAACGGCGTGCTTACTCATCCCCAATCATCACTCTGTGGGGGTCACCGGTTCGAACCCCCGGCAAAAAGAAAAATCAAATTTATTAAAATCAAGAATGAAAGAGGGAATCAGCTAGGTGTATAGCTCAGGGGTAAAGTACAGGGTCCTATGTTCAATCCCCAGAACTTAAAAAAGGAAGGAAGGAAGGGAAGGGATGGGAGAAGGAAGGTAAGGGATGGGAGAAGGAAGGGATGGAAGAAGGGAGGGGAGAGGAGGGGAAAGGGAGGGAAGGGAAGGAAAGGGGAAAGGGAAGAGAGGGAAAGGGGAGGGGAGAGGAGGGGAGGGAAGGGAAGGAAAGGAAAGGAAAAAGGAATATTTCTAATCCACAGGGGGAAAATATCTATAAGCAAACACTATGAACAACTGTACACAAATTAACTGGGCAGGGGTGGGGTCTACAAAATGACTCAGCCTGGGTAGAGGCACCTGCTGCCAAGCCTGACAACTTGAATTTGATCCTAGGAACACACATGGTAGAGAACTGGCTCCCACAAATTATCCTCTGACCCTCCACATGTTTGCCTAGGCACATATGCCCACACATACAAATACATAACACACAATGAAAATAATAAATGTAAATTTTTTAATATAAATAAATTAAATGACAAAATGGAAATTTCCTAGAAAAACACAAACTACATAAACTAACTTAAGATGAAACAACAAATCAGATTAGACTTGTAACAAGTAAAAAGACTGACTCAGTAACCTTAAAATTTACACAAAGGAAAACCCAGACTTGGATGGTTTTACTGGTGAATTCTACCAAACATTTAGCAAAGAATTCATATAGATCTTACACACACTTTAGGAGGAGACATTTTCCAATTCATTCTATGAAGTAATAATAGTGCTATTATTCTCATACTAAAACTATATACATACATCACAAAGAAAACTAAAGACCAACATCCCTTATGAATACATACACAAAAATCCTCACTAAAATACTAGATTACCAAATCCAACAAAACATAAACAACTGTATGCTCTAACCACACAATTTATTGCAACAATTAAAGGTTAATTGATACAATACATTACAGACTGGGGATATGGCCCAGTAGTACAGCATTTGCTTGGTAGGCACAAGGCCCTAGGTTCAATACTCAGTATTGAAAAAAAAATCCTATTAATAGAATATTTAGGGATTAAAAAAAAAAACAATTAGCTTGGGGCTAGAGAGAAGGTTCAGCAGTTAAAAGCACTTACTGCTCTTCCAGAGGACCTGAGTTCAGTTCCCAGCACCCATATGGCAGCTGACAAAAGTCTATAACTCCAGTTCCAAGGGATCCAATGTCCTCTCTGGCTTCGATGAGCATTGCATGCATGTGGTACACTTAGATACATGCAGACAAAACACTCGTACACATAAAATTAAATCTTTAAAATTCTAATTAGCTGGACAGAAGACAGACATTTGACAGTCACATTCTGATGAATAAAAAAATACTGACCAAACTAAGAATAGAGAACTCCCAACCTTTATAATAAAGGGAATCTATGAAAACTTCACAGCTGACGTCATAATGGTGAAAGACTAAGCGCTTCCCGCTCAGATAAGGATGCTTCCACCACTTCTAGTCAAGACTGAAACAAAGTTCTAGTTGGGAAATTTATGATGATTTGGGGAGATGTACTGGTTTCAGTTTCAGGTTTTGTTCTTTGCAGTACCGAGGATTGAACCCAAGCCCTCACACATGATAGGCAAACATACTACTACCAAGTACCAAGCTACACACCCAAGCTCTAAGATGCTGATATTTAGAGCTGAGAGAAATACATCAACAGTGTAAGGAAGTATTCACAAGGCTCCTTTTTTACAGAATCTAGAATGTTGAATTTTAACAATTGTTTTATATAACTTTGAGGTTTTCACTGAACACTGGGCTACATTCCCTAAAGGCATGGCATTTTCATTATTTTGTAGATAATCCATAGTTTCATTTTAAATTTCCTTTTTAACCAAAAATTTTTTAAATGTCCAGGTAATCATGTTTTCTTTTGTGTTTTTAATTTCTATTTTTACTATACTTGCTTCATTTTCTAATATTTGATCAATTCTAAAAAATTTTCCAATGGTATTTGTTATTGTTGTTTAGAGAGGGTCTATGTAGCCCTGACTGACCTACAACTTGTCATGTAAAGACCAAGCTGGCCTCAAACTCACAGAAATCCACCTAACTCTGCCTCCTGAGTGCTGGAATCAGAGGTGTGTGTATCTTTAGTAACACTTTTCTTATGTTTTGAACAAAGCACTTTGTGTTGCAGTTTGTGAAAGATGGATTTAAAAAATTAA